GAGTGTCACCAAAATGCTCTCGTGTGCCGTATCAAGCACTGCAGCATTTTGTTTGTAACAAAAAAGATTTAAACAAGAATCTTCCATCATGGAAACGCTGACCAAGAGATACTCTTCAGCGCTGGAACAAGGGAGACATCAGTGAGGCCAGGGCTGCAAACAGCCTGTCTGCAGCGTCCCATCCCAGACCGAGTTCCTAAAAAAACCAAATGCATCCCGGCAGAACGACGTTTCACTGCACTTGCACGCTAACACGTGTGCTTCCCTTCTCCTTACCGTGATTTTGTTGGTTGGCCATCTCCCCCAATGACCTGCTTACAAGCACACAAGTCTCTGCAAGCCCCAAAAGCAAGATTCCTAACAAGCACAGTCTTTTTCTGACACAACTCAAAATCAATCGATATTACAAGCAATGCTATTATTTGTCCTGAATTCCCTCAAAAGAGGAATAGCACTGGTAGAGAGATCTACACACGCACACAAGGAGGGTCAGTCACGACTGCAGTTCTTTCCCGATGTGAGAGCCCAGGGGGCTTAGTACTATGCAATGAACATATTTGATTGCCTTACCAAATTAGACTTGAGCTGCAGCAGAAACTACAAGTTTCCTGCCAGGGGAAGCACTGATCTGGTAAGCAGCTTGGGAGCAAGACGTGGCACTGGAGCATAAGGCCTCCCAGCTACTAGCAGAGCTGCTAAAACCATATCCAGACCCAGAGCTGGAATCCCAGGGACCACGAGCAGAGAAATCGCTGCTCTGCGTTCACAGCATGCACCTACAAGCTTTCCACTGAAATATGCTTCTACTTGCCTTTTTTACAGGAAAACCTGTAAAATGTTCATGACTCACATTACAGTGTATCTCTCCAACCTTGTCCCTTCAGCATAAACCTGTGAAAACTACAGGTCTCCAAGGTCTCTTTCAAATGTCAATGCTACTTGTTAAAGTATCTAAGCAGACCCTAAGATGGGGAGCAGGATTATTGCCTCCTCTCTGCACATCAGCTCTCCTCTGCACCGCAGGAGACGAAGCTTGCCCAGAGCTATCCCACACCACGCCACGACGGGGAGCCAACTGCAGACCACCTAACAATAAATCTCTGAATTTCCAGAAATAACAGAAGTACTATTCCTGGAAACAATGCACGTTTCTACCTTCCTCGATTAACATCTGATTAACAAACCCAGTATATTTACAGAGCACTTCTCATCTCAAATCACTTTATAACACTGCGCATGCAGAACTATTTCCCTCATCTTGGGGTAAGAGGGCTTTTGTAACACAGCTGAATTTCCATGTAGGGAACAAATTAGCACTAGAGCCAACTGAAAGTACAGCAGAAATTTAGGAATTCTTTAAAATAAAACTGATTAAAGTAGGGATTACAATAGCATTAAAAAGCATCAGAGAAGGTTCTGCACTCTCCAGTTTTGGGCTCTTAACAGTGCTGTTTTAGCTTCTGACAAAGAAGCCACAGAGTTTCCCAGGAAAACCCCAATTCAATTATTGACCAGGCAGCACTGCTGAGAATACCTGATCATGCCTTGAGGGAAACAAGAGGCTAGCTGAGGACTTTCTCCCTCTCCTTATATTGGCAATATTTAAAAAACCCTAACTTCCATTTCCAAATTATCTAAAAATTTTCAGTATAACCCTACACCTGGAATAGCATCTCAGTCAAACAAGCTACTTCCACATAAGTCCTTCAGATCAAGAGAGTCTCAGCACGTTTACAAGGACTACCAGAACAGAGTCTCCCAGATTAGTTGAAGCCTCCTTATGTCACCTGCACATATAAAAAACTGTAATCCTTTGAAACTGCCTTTAACAAAATTGAGCAAGTTTTTGAGCTACCTAGCCTCGCTGGGGAACACACACGCACAGAGTACCGTCCTGCCTGCACGCCCCCCCACAGGTGATTTCCCCCAGTCTCCACTGCAGTTACAGGATATGCTCGCTCTTAGGCTATCTTCTTAATCATACCTTAAGTTACTTTCTATTGTAGGCTGAACAGTCTTCCTAAAGGGTATTAGATTACAGAGCTCTTCTCAGATGCTGTTTCTGTTCTGTGAACATACTATTGCTAAACATCTCACAGTTTGTTCCTGCAAGGCTTTCTTGTCTACCCAACAGACAAGCTTCATGTTTGCGCACAAATGGGCCACCTGGGATTTCAAGCAGCAAAGAGAGCATCCTTAGCACATTAGGGGGGGGGAAAAAAAAAACTAAAACCCTGCAGCAGTACCCTCAGTGCAAAATCTTACACAGAAAATCAGAATGTTTCTGTATCAAAAGATTCCAACTTCTTAATTTTTGCTACTAAAACTTAAATAGCCTTGTAGCCCATCTGGCAATTTGCAAACCTTTACTCAGCCTTTTTTCAACCCTGAGATATTTAACATAATCAGGCCCTAATAGGGACCAAGTCTTTCATAAAAACTATTAAACCCCAGGAAAATAATGCCATTTAGTTTGAAATGTTCTTTATTAACGATTGAAAGTGACAGTTAATAAATTATGTCAAAGAGAAAAGGCTTGGATGCCCTGAAACACTAGGAGCCAAGCATCCAGGTCCTTTGAGAACTCGCTGCACTAGCTAGCTGCAATGTCTACAACAATTTTAATAATTCATCTGAGAGCATGAAAATCGTCATTGGAAAACAAGTGAACTACTTGTTTCTTGTTTGTACTGTATCTGACTGAAGGTTTTACCCCCACCACACCAGAAGCTGACGGGAAGTTACACCATAGAGGAAAAGAATTTTAAAGATTAAACTTCCACGCTGGGCTGACTGTATTAGTTTGAACTTCCCAGGACTCAAATGAAAGGATTTAAAGCCAATCTTGACATGGGTGCCAGAGTCAACTTCTGAGTAAAAGGGATAAACAGCAAAAAGGAAAGTAGTCAGGGTTTGCAGGAAATCTTTAAATTCGGCCTTTTAAGATTGTGAAGAAAGTGTGTCCCATTCCCTGAAAGCAGCAGAAGCTAATTTCCTTCACTGGGGGCTGTTAGCCAGCATTGGATGGGGAGGACAAAACAACCAGCTGTAAACAGCATGGGAAAGCAACTCCTGCCACAGACGCCACAAATCATACAGAGAGGCGTACACAGGGAAGCCAATACCTTTTCTTTTGTTTTACAGATTGGAAAATTCTGCACTAGACAGTTTGCAACCAAGTATTGCTAATTACTATCAATAAGCACAGTCATAAACTCCTGCTTTTGAGCCTCCAGCTCTTACTTTTCTTAGGGACAAATGCAAAGGAAATTTCCTGTTGTATTTAACTTCTGTACTGACAGAGATTGATCATCACACTTGTCAACTCAGGTCTGACACTGGAGTAAAGGCACTTCCTCTGCTAACTGCTGGACTGAGAACTGATGCTACAAGAGTTAAAAACCCACTCTTTTTGACAGAGGATCCTAAGCAGGGACTTACGAGGCATATCATTTAAATCTCTCATACCATCTCCAGCGTGCCCCAACACCAAGACAAGACAACCCACACAGAAGCTGAATCAGCTCCCGGGGATGTGGCATTTTTTTTTAGTGGTGGCACTGGGGCTCCGCTGGCCCCCCGCACGCCGAAAACGCCCGCTGCTGCCTGGAGCCCCAGCAAGGGATGCTGGCAGAGAGCTTTCATAGGAGAAGAGGAAGGGGTTGCAAGCAGTTGCAGGAAGAGCATACGGGAGAGGCTGGGGGGGCCGGGGCACGGCCAACACCCAGCACCAGCAGTTATTCTGCTGAAGGTGTGTAAACTAGAGGGAAATCCAGCTCTCTTGCCCAGCTAAAGGGAGACAAAGGGGAAAGCTGTCTGCCGTGGAGGCCAGGAGATCTGGCTAGATACTCGCACAGGGCAGAACTGCCACAGTACTCAACTTACAGGGGTGCTCTGAAGATCCCACAACATTCACAGGAACATTTATCCTGTCGGTGAGGTCACTTTTTAAGAGAGCAATTACATCCTGCCTTTAAGTACTCCTACCAACCCTCCAGGTATGCATTCCCTTGCCCTTCCAATCATGCTCCGTTCAGTCTCATCGGTTCATGCTCCTCTTTCACCGGCTGCCCCCACACACCCTCACCACTGCCAGATGGCTGCTGCATTTCAGCTCAAGGAGGTAAGAGGCTCCCCAACTCGGAACAGTTGCAGTCGCTCGCTGCAGTATTTCTGGAGTCCCTTTCACCTGCCTTGCACTACAGTCGTCAAGCTCACATCCTGCCGCATATTGCCTCTCTGCATCACCACAGCTCCAAGAGAAGCCACCACTTCCTTTCCAAGGCAGAATATTACACCAGCCCAAAGTACTTTGGCTTATATCCATTTTAGAAATTGTACATTTGCAAAATTTAAGGAGTCTGCACACTGAAAGGCATCTGTTCAAATGATGCAGGAACCTCTTTCTCCCATCACCAAGAATTTTTGTCTTTGCAGTTCATTGTATCATGAAAACTCTCAGATTTTTATACCATGCAGCTTTAAGTTTCTAGTCACTGGTTACTAAAAATCTCAACGTGAAACATTACGGTGTTGTCATCATTAGGCTTCAGAGCCAACAGTGTCAACACAATTAGCTACAGAACACTAACATTCAGCCAGCATACTTAAAATAAGAGTACTTTCAACACTTCTCCAGATAAAGACGTCTATCATCTTCACAGTCCAGAACACAGACTGCTCAATGATTTCTTCAAAACAGTAATGAATTTTGGTTCCCATTTCTGGAGTAAAATGGATATTAAAGATATAGGGGGCAAAGTAAATAGCTTTTCACTGTAATTTCAATATAAATCTTTAACAACCGAATTAAACGTGAGGACGAGTAATCCAACACAACCTCATTTCCTCCTTTCATCTAACCTTCCACACATCCCCAAGACCATCCTGCTGGGCTGCAGATCCCAGATCTGCCCTGTAGCTGACACAGGGTCTCGATAACAAGTCAAGGTTCGGCCAACATGTTTGTCAGAGCCCTTGGGTCCCACCCAGCAACTTACCAGGAAGCGGACATCATCAAAGCCGTTCAAAAGCAGCTTACTCTCATATTGCTGCAGGCCAACGGACTCCAGCCACTCCCCGACACTCTGCTCCAGCATCCGCGAACCTGACGAGAGAGGAATCGGCAGACGCTTGAAAAGGGAAAAACCGTTAAGGCGGTAGCAGCGGCACTCTGAGGAAGACAGATGGCATTGCCACATCATAGTCATTACCATAAAGAAACTCAAAAAATTAGGCTCAGAGTACAACAAATCAGCTGGCAGACAATTCCTCTTGTGTGCACAGACCATGGACAACAAGCTTCCAGCGCCTCCCCGGGCTCCGGGTTTAATTTCTATCCCAGTTAACACTCAAAAAAAAAAAAAACCACCTTGCCCGAGAAAACTGTTTAGAAGCGCTCCTGGGACCATGACATCACATGCACTGCTTTCAGGGCTCAGGCGAGTTTCTTGCCAGGCAAACATATGAAGCCCAACCCCACGGGGATGCTGATCCACTCCTTGGCTTATCCGAAAGGGGCGGGAGGAGGGCAGCACGCTTTCCCCCTCGGCATTCCCAGTAGGAGTCGCAGGTGCAAGGGAAGGGAGGGGAGCTGCTCACAAGTGCACAGAGCTGGGCAGGTCCTCTCATCCATGCAACTTCGGATGCACTACCCCACACAGCGGGCCAGCGGAGAGGGCTGGGAGCACTGGAGGCACAAAGCAGCTAGAGAGAAAATACATCTTCATGCAGCTGAGACACAAACAGACACGACGGACTTTCAGAAAAGCAGCAGAAGCCAGACTAGAGAGCAGCTGTCCACAGGAAGACATGCAAGACAAAGAAAGCACACAAACTGCAGCAGAAGAAAAGAAGGGCTTATACTTTTTTTCCCCAAGCAGTCCTGAAAGAGGCAAACCATGGTAAGGGTTTTTTCCTCTCCGTTACTGTGTCATGAGGAGCAGAGGCATGAGTGACCCCGAGCACAAGTCTGCGAGTCCTGGCACTGTTATTTTACCACTTATCTGGAAGCGTGGCATTTCAGCACACCCCTCGGACCAGGCTCTACACTGGAGAGTCTAACTACAGCACTGCATTAGATGACAGCGAGAGAGAGAGAGAAAGAGAGAGGCAGGCATCGGTACGTTTTTCACACAATACATTCGGTCCTGCCAGGTGCTCGGTGCGTGCTTGTATTTGCCCTTCCTTTATCTTCTTCAGCTAAATGCAGATGCTGCATCTGAGCCCCACACAGGGAGCAGCTCTGGAGGAGGAGGCATTTTATTTCCCTGCTTCCAAACCACACCAAAATAAAAAGAGGAGACCAAACGCAAGCACACTCCCTCCTCTTCCTGCCGCCAGCTCAAGTCCAAGACATGCCCCAGCACCTCCTTTCAGCTTTTGATAAATGAGATTCTTCCCAATACCCTACAGAAGCTGTGCGGGCAAGCTCTCCCTTCCCTCACCCCTGGGAAGAGGGTCCAGCGACTTGTTACTCCCCTCTAGCAAAGCTTGAGACCCTTAGATACAATAAGAAAAGTTCAGAGATCTCCTTTTCATCAGGGCTCAGAGAATTGGTATGCAAAACACGCAGAATTTTTGCAGCCTTCTTAGTACATCTGTGTTTCAAGGGTATATGCAAATAAAAGATGACGATCAGGAAAACCAAGTTTGCTTTCTTTGAACCTCCAGGTCAGGTGAAGCTGTCTGGCACTTTCCAAGTCATCCTTCCCACCCCTGCCCCGCTGCAACAGCTGCACGACGCAGAGCTCACGGCGTGATCTGGAAATTCCTGGGGCACGGGATCCTGCCGCTCTGGTCCACAGGGGAGCTCCTCCACTAGGCGAGCCACACTCGGCGAGTTCACGAGCGCCGGCCGGTCTGTCTAGTGCAGGCTGCAGCACGAGAGATGCAGAGATTGCAGAAGCTTTCTGTCTCCCTCCCCTAATGCAGCCCATGCAGAAGGGTAGCCACTAAACCGGGAATTTATGCAACAAGCTCCTGCTTGCCCAGGCTCTCCATCCTTCCCTCCTGGCGATCCGCTGCGGTCCGTGAGCAACCAGAGATCCGCGTCCCTTTACTAGGCGATTGTGTGTCCTTGCGGAGAGATGCGGCGGAGTGCTTTGTCTGAAGGCAGCGAGCTCCACGCTTGCTGCTCCACTCTCAGTCCTGTCTCCTGCTCTCGCATTGCCTGTCCCTCCCTTCTCTTCATCCTCTTACCCCTCCCAGCTTTTCCATCCACTGTACAAGCAGCGATCAGCCTTCACAGCAGAAGCTGCAGGAGAGGGGAGGGAGACAGCAGCTTTATAACTCTCAAGTGGAAATTACCGACTTCTCAATATTTACTCGATGATGGACTGCACAGCATGGGTTTTCAAAAAAATGACGTTACAGGTTTGCTTTGACAGTTCAAAGTGATTTGTGGCTGGCTCAGAATTAATTTATTGAGAGAGAGGTGAGGAAACTGCTTGCTGCCTACTACAGCATTTCTGGAAGCAGTCGGGGTATTGGCAAGGGGAATGAAACCACAGCAATTCCTGCCTCTGAGCTCCTGAATTTGCTTTTACAAAAAGTATTTACTCTACTCAGCCTTTTGTACACTTGTAAATACATTTCTTTTCTTTTACAGGGGAAATCTACAGTGACACCAAGTTCAGATTTTCTGGCTTTAAAACCACTTCAAGTCAAGGCAAAATTAAGCGGGGAGACTGGCAGGGGGCAGGGAGGGAGAGTAGGTTAACTTGAAAAAGCAGAACAGATGCAAAGAATCTGCTTGCTTCGGCTGAGAACAGAGAAGTCCAAAACACGCATGATACCTGCATGGTACATGACACAGGAGCAAGCAAATCCCAGTCGCTGTGCTCTGCCAGCAAGGGCCTGACCGCAGCTTCTGACTAAAACAAGCCCTAACCCTCAGGCAAGTCAGCTCCATCCTCCTTTCTCATGCTCCAAATTTTAGGAATCCTACCTTTATAAAGATGCCAGGCAAAAAAAAAAAAAAAAAAGAGCAGTGCATAGAGCATAGTCAGAAGTAATCAGAGTGTTTCAAAGTTGCAGCCAAAGGAAGAAAAAAAAAAAAAAAAAAGGCAAGTCAGTTCCTCCTGCAAGACATCTTTCAGGTAACACAAGAGTGCAGCACAGAAAACAGGAAGGGACAGGGCCACCATGACTCAGAAACGTCCTTTTACAAGTTGTTCTTTCAATAACCTCCTTTGGTACAGTGATTAAGACAGTGTGCATGGTCCACGCACAAAGAGAGCGTGCAGAACCACCGAGTCAGGCACTTATCGCTTCAGCTGGGTCGACCATCAGCCAAAAGTCCCTCACCCTTTGGGGCAGGCTGTAAACCTCAGCAACGCATTAGACCAAATGGATAGACAAGGAGAATCAAGTTGGCCATTAATGCTTTCAGATGTGAGAAAAGTAGCCAGCATCCAACTTCCCTGGAACAAAAACCAACTAGCCAAAAGCAGATTGCTAACAAATTTCCTCCTCTTTTGTCCAGTAAAACACTAAGCATGTTTCTCACGTCTCAAGAGTTAACTCGCCAAGCCCCAAATGCCTTCCCTGCCTGGTGCAGCAAGCCTCCCACCTGCACCAGGCTGATTTATTGAGCAGAGATCCATCATCTCCATTTTGGGGGACAGAAACACTGCCTGACAAATCACGGGAACCCAGCAGGCAGCGCACAGGTCTCGCTCTCAACGCCAGCAGCGCAATGAGGAGCTGCAGTGCAGCGGGGCCAAGTTTCTGCCGCGAGAGCTGTGCAGCCCTACCCCTCCGACCCACGTCTGGAAGGGAGAGATGATCAGAAGCAGCACGACTTCAAATCATACACGCACAGAGACGCAGACCTCAGGCTAAGGCACTGCAGCCAAAAACCCTTTCAGGCAGAGGTTAGGTAGAGAACAGCATCCTCTAAGAGATGGTGTTCCTTGATCACCCGTCCTCCAAAAAGCACTTAACACCCGTCAGCAAATGCTTCAGTCAACAGACGATTTCTCCCCTCACCTGTACTACACCGCTCTTGGGATTCAGCTGGAGAAATACATTTGGAAGATTTGCTTATATGCTCTAGTAGGAAATCAGAGGGCCGAACCTGCTGGCCAAGAAATAGACTCTAACTCTAAATTCTATAAAGGCACCAGGATATGTTAAATTATCTTAACATCCAAGGGCCTGAGAAGTTAACGTGTTCCTCCATAGAGCCATGGCAAGACATGGAAGTTTTGGTATCGTTTTTTGCAGAGGATGGAAAAATCCTGTCTGCACAGGGAAAAATCCCTGTCTGTTTTCAGGGACACGAGAGCAGATGGAAAGTTCTGTGCAGCCCTCGCTCACGTGTGATACGACCTGAACGATTCAAACAGCCCCAAAAAAGCTTGAGCAGCAAAAGTTAAAAGCTGCTAAAACAAAAACATAAAAGCGCATCCACCCCAAGACGCTTTTTCCTCCTTACAGCAAGAGGCTGCAAAGCAATTCCCACCTTCTGGCTAGCCACTTTCCTAGGACAGGAAAGAGCTGGGAGAAACACTGCAACTTCAGCTGCGCACGTATAGCTGCTGCGCACAAGAGGGACCCCGAACCGAGGATAACGCAGCCCAGCCTGCAGGAAAAGACGCTGCCCGCAGCCAGCGCGGCTCATGGGTCTGCCTGCTTCCCGGAGACGAGTGTCCATTTTGCTGACAACTCCCTGCACAACAGCAGCTTTTGCTGGAGCGAAAGCTCCTCCTCTCCCCTCCATGTCAGGCCTTCACTAATGATATCGATCACTCACGTGCGCTGCCACGGCCGCGGCCCGGCCCGGGGAGGGGAGGCCTTGTCACGCTCAACGGTTGCCGTTGCATTAGAGCGAAACCTGTGTCCTGTTTCACATCGCACTGTGCAGCCATCCGACCCTAGAAAACATGAGCCCTGCTCACAGGTAGCACCTAGAGCAGGCACATGGTAAAATTCCCCCGGGGAATGCATGGTGGAGTCCTCCGCCAAAGCAAAACCCCAAGCGACAGACGGACACGAGATAAGGTTTATTATGGCAAGCGTGCGCTATGTGTGCGGATACTTATTAACATCCCACTGAGAGGAGATGCTGCCCACTTAAAGCAGTTTACGTACAGCAGTTTGGAGGTGAAAAATTTAAGAAGAGAGACTTCCTTGCAATGGCAGCTCTCCCACCACGCTGCTGCAGAGACGGACAGAAGCTCTCCAGAGCTCTGCTTTTGTCTCTTCACTGCTCCTGAGGAGAGGCGGGGAAGGGAATTCGTGCTAAAGCACAAGGCAAAGCACCTCTGCCACAAGCAGCCTTGCTTAGTAGATGTCATCTGCCGACGCACGCGGTTAGGAAAAGCCTAGCGCCACCCAAATTTAGGAGCATGGCAAAAACCAACGCAGTCGAGAGCTGCCATGACAGCCGCGCTGACCGGCAGCTGGCATCAGCCCAGGCTCTGCTCCCAGCACAGCCGCTGCTCTCGCAGAAACGACACGGGAGAAGACTGAAATCTCTGCCCAGAGAAGTTCAAGAGGCACCAGGACAAGGCTGGGAGCTGCTCCTTGCTGTTCTGACCACGGCCTTTCACCAGCCCCGAAATACGGCAGAGGACAGGACAGCCGCAGCTGAACCGGTCTCACCAGCAGAAAGCATTTCCTACAACTGCATCAAGAGAGATTTAGTTTTCCCCAAATCCTTGAGCAGTACACGGTATTTAGGCACTTTCAGTCCCCAGAGGGCAAAGTTCATTGGCATCCGTTTAATCAAGTCCTGAACGCTGTGTTTCACTACAAACAGCCCCATTTCAGAAGGCACCATTACAGCCCTGCAATTATCTCCTCCCTTGAAGGCGGCAGCCTCCGTCGCCTATGGGAGACGACGTGCCCAAAGCCCGACAGCTCGGTCCACGGCCGCACAGCAGACACGCTGGTTAACAAACTGCTGGTTTCCAGAGCGAAACCGCACCTTGGAAACAGAAGAATTACAACAAACCTCCTGAGCAGCTCAGGAATACAGAAGCATTGAGACAGCAGGCTGGGAAAGGGGTAGGTGCTTTCCCCAGTCTGCCAACAGTACGGAAAAATCTCTAGGGGCGTCTGCACAGATATCAAAGCCTCCTTCCTCTCTTAGCTTCACCTGCCCTTCACGTGCACTTTCCTCAAAGGAAGGAGAGAAAAGTATAGATTAGGAGCGTGCAGGGGTAGTGAACTACCAAGCCTTGGAAACTTCCTGCAAAAGCTGGTAAACTGCAAAACAGACCAATCCAAGACATGCAAGGGGGCCGTAATATTGAGCACGGAAGGAAGATTTTTAACTAAGACTTAGTTCTGACGCTGCTTTTCTAGTCTGGGTCCTGAATACAAACTCAGCGCAGAGCTGTTCCCCATGCCCCAGCCTCCTGTACTTAGAGCATTTATGAAAGCGAACTCAGCGTCCTCTCCTGTTGCTCCAACGCTGCATTGCGGAGATAAGAGTTATAATGGCTGCAAACATGGCCGGTGGAGGCTCTTGATACTCGCACTGTTTGAGGAAAATCAACGCGCCAAATGACAGAGTCCTTCACGTTTTTATGGAGATTAGAAAAGGTGAAGACAAAACACATCGCTAAATCGTCACACACTATTTATAAGAGGTAAAATTAATAAAACTGCAAACTTCAAGGCCACAGAAGCACGCAGATGAAATACTTTTCATTTAAAAAAGGAAACCACAATGAGTTTTGTCTGATTTGGAGCTACAAGGGGGCACCTGAAGTTTTATCAGGCGAATGAGTAGGAAAAGAGATATAAAAATATTCTGGCAAATACACTTCAGAGGTTGCAGAAAAACAGTAGCTTTGCTAGAAAAATCTCTGCAACGCTCCAGCTACTCTGGACTATCCACGTCAGAGGCTGGGTGGCAGAAGCAGCTCTGTGTGCCCTGGACTTCCCTTCAGGGCACCCAAGCCTTTCACAGTAAAACCCAGCCCTCCAAAAGCTCCAACTGAGACTCAAACCACACAAATACACACAGTTTTTAAAAAAAAAAAAAAAAAAAAAAGTTGGCCTCAGTGATGGGGCTGCAAGGCACACAAAGCAGAGGTCAGGGGAATCTGGCCAGAGCTGCACACTGACTCCAGAGCCCAGGTTAACATTAATTACAAGGCCACTTTTCCTTACCTCTGCGCTGACTTAAAACCATAAGACATTCAAGAGGCTGCGACCAGGTGATTTTTTGTCATTTCCTAATCTGACACAGAAAAAAAACGTGCCCATGGAACTGCTTACATGAGAGGCCTTATAATGATTAATTTTAGCCCGTCCCTGAAGCAGGGTTCATCTGCTAGGCTGGAGCATCAGTGCCATCTATGACCTTCCAAGAGACACGGGAATAGCCTCTGGAGAGCCTGAACAGGACCTGACGCCCAGCACAGCCTTTGCTCAAGGGCTCCTGCTCCCCGGGAAACATTCCTTAATCAGTGAAATGCAAAGGAGCCTACAAGTACTTCAAGAGAGCGAGTGCTGAAATCACCCGCATGCTGAAGCAGACCACACTACCGAAAAGGTCAGGCCACTTGCACCATAGGTGGCCAGGGACTTTATTTCCAAACATGCTCAGCAGTGAACGCGCTGGAATGGTGGCTGGGGAATTCCAGCGGAGATAACAGGGGCGATCTGAAGATTAAACGCATCTTTCCCTTTTGTTGGGCTTGAGGAGTGAGGAAACTTCCCGAAGGAACGAGAAAGGGAAAAATACCCCTCCACCTAGGTGGTGGTTAGGGACATTGAAACCAACCCATACAACAGATCTGAGACGCACTTAAATAGAGAAAATGTTATTGCATATATGGAAAAATCCTGACTGCAGTGACTCTGATGTACAACCACT